TGAATTGAATTAGATAGGTAAGTAGTCACTGGACAGTCTAGAGTTCAGGGGCTTGCTCAAAGGGTAGGAAAGGATGTCAAATCCCTCGTTTGGCTTATTTTTGTGGTATAAATATATGTTAAAGCTATGGAAGTATTACACCTATATTTACCGCAATTTAAAAATAGTCAAAAATTCATAACCCCCTTTTCAAAAAATCTGAGCACACCACTACATAAGTTTACAATGCCTCTTTGACATCAGAAACTGATTATGGAAATATACTATATTAAATCAACAAACCATTTTCTTGAATTTTAAAATTTGGTTTCTTGTCATCTAATGATTCAAGTCCATTAAGTGTATATACATTTTCAATTATATTTTTTATTTCAGCTGCTTACACATAAATGTTTTTTTTTTTAATTTTTCTAACTTTAAATTTACTAGGTAATACATAATTAACAATTCTTCAATAAAGCGAGGATTTTTAGGTTTTTAAAAGCTTAAAATAATAAAATATGCTCTAAAAACACACTAAAATATTTTCTAAATATTCCTTAAACTTGTAAATATGATTTTTTTTTCTTAAATAGTTCAATAAAAACAATAAATAAATTTTATGGGCCATTCCTTTCATATTAATTTATTTCTTTTATTTAATATAAAATCATTATAACCACATCATCAGTTGTCACATACAATATTCTATAGTACAATCACGGACTGAGATTAACAGTATGACCAACATTACCAATTTAATTTCAACCAAGTAGATAAATCAAATAATTTTTTTTCCTATAAAAATCACAACTTGAGAAATTAGTAAAATATGCTTTTTTATGAAGAATAATTGAATATATTCTAAAATATGAGAAATAGGCTAAATATTCTATAATCTCCAAAATATGCTAATATAAGCAAAATAAATTTTTTCCTACAAACTCTATGATGTATAAATTGTCCACATTTTTCATCCTCGTAAGAGGAATAAAGCCAATAAAAATATACGTATAAACCTAAAGATCCATGCTCTAATCATAAGTAATTTGGTCGTTTCTCTCCTCATACACTTTACAGTTCAGAATCTAATGTAATCCTATGTTCATAAATTAGATTGAATTGCAATTTAATTAATTAGAACAAACATCTTCATAACCAAGATATAAGTCTATGATAGTTTTAATAGAAAATGCCTATTTCAGTATTTACAATTTACAGTTTTACAATATTCAGTAATAACTAACATTAACTGTTATTATTTTAACACTCAACAGTCACTTACATTAACAGTTATTAATTTTTATAAATAGCTAGTCATGGTCTTGGCGTTATGCGAGTGAATGCTAAACAATGGTATGCTCATTTGCATGTACTATACTGTAATTTTCAAATCTTAGATTTATAAAGAACATTTTTTTTGAAGTTCTAACTCAAAATGATTTGCACATTTTGGTACTTTTTACATATTTTGTTAAAATTCAAACTTTAAATACTGATGAAAAAAAATTGTGATTGTATTTTTAATATCTTTCAATTGCAACTGTCACATCAAATTACTAGCCTTGTATTGAATTTTCAAGCTTTTTGACCCAACAAATAATATTTGATTGACATTATATATAGAAAAAAAAAATTTTAAAATTGGAAACGGTTAATGTCCGAAAACAGTTCAAAACAAAGTTTTGACCAACAAGTTTTTTCTTTTTTAGAAAATGTTAATATCAGTGAAAATTGTTTTTATCTACTACGGTCATTTGTTTTAGAGTTACAATAAAAACCAAAACCTATTTTGAGTACACTATTACTGTTTTTCCTTAATTTTTTTAGTAAGGTATTCCCGGAACTTTTAAACTTAGAATTTTAATTAACCTCCATATGCAACAACTAGATTTACTTTCTCATTCAACAAGAAACCGAAGTCGAAAATCTAAGCTTTATTTGGATTATTTATCGTGTACACACACACACACACACACACACAAAACACTTGTAAAATCAATATATTTATTGCTCCACTTAGAATCTAAAACTATTTACATTTTTTATATGGTGTATAGAAAATGCTATAATAAACATTCAGTGAACATTTTAGTATCTACGGTAATTTGTTTTAAAGTTACACCATAAATCTGCGTTTTACTTTAACTTTTGTTTTGTTTCTCCTTGTGCTTTTAATCCCCCAAAGCCCATAAGTAAAATCAATACCTAAAATAACTATTAGATTTCTGTTTGCATTTTAAGTTCTACTTAATATATTTAAGGCTGTTGGAACACACCGTATTTTTTGTAGTTTAAGACCAATAAGCGGAAGATTAGTTTATGTATTTCCCGATGTACAATTATTATTTTAAAAATATGTATGAACTCATCAGCTCCTTTTCTGAGTTATGTAGGAAACAGATTTTTATTTTATACACTTACATTCAGTTTTAAAACATCAATTATTTTCCTATATAACCTAGTAAAGGGAATGATGAGTTCATACATATTTTTAAAATAATTATAGGAGATCGGGAAGTACATAAACTAATCTTCCGCTTATAGCTATTTTGAACCGATTTTAACGGTTTTTATTCCGATAACACGATAATGGCCCAGATAATGATCACACACACTAAGGTTCATTTACTACTTACACAATGACAAATATATGCCAATAATATTTTTGCACAATTTAATAAGTTTTACTACTTAAAATATTCTATGCTCCAACAGCCTTAAACAATTTATTTATTATTATTTTTCACATTTTGCTTTAATTTCTGTTTGAGATCTTATATCGATATATTTTTGAAAATGCTATGATACTGTGCTGGTATCATAAGGTATAACAACATAATAAGAGTAATCTTCTTTTTTAGAAAATTAAATTTTCAGATTGGAATAATTAGCACATCTTACTAGCTTACCTATTATGTCAATAAACCTATTATCATAATTAAAAAAAATGTTTTTATCTGTATAATTGTTTTATTCTTAATAATTGTTATTTATAGAATTTTTTTTGGCATTTAAAATGTCAAGACAATCTCGGCGTGGCGGTCCTAACTTGTATAAAATAAATAAATCAAACATTTTATAAACAAAACAACTACCTAATAAAACAATTTTTTTTCTACAAATTATATTAAGAGGATGCTACACCTGCATGCGCTGTTTTCGTCTTACAAACACGTAACTTGGTAAATTTTACTTTCTGAATAATCCATAAACTCTGTCATGATTAATATTGGAGGATAATAAGAATATTATCTATACTCTGCGCCAGGAAAGAACGTAACCTTTGCGCATGCAGACTGATAGCACAATTTCCCCTACTTTGTGTCGCGATGGTCTAGGCTGTATAAATATATTACAAAATTATAGCGTCAAGTTTTTCCGAAAGTAGTGAACATAAACGAAACTGTTGAGTCTTGAGTCTTGAGTGGAGGATGCGTGGGATTCAGAAGAATTTTGGTCTGGTTACGGTAATATTTTCTCCTGGCGCAGAGTATAGTGTATTTTAAAATTGGAAATTGTTTGCACATTAAAAAAAAAAACATGAGGTTCAATAGATAATACTCTTGCTTCAAAATTTTATAATAGGTAAATTGGCTCATATATTCGACATACCTGAGCTAGAAAAATTATTCAGAATGTACAATTTGCTATGTTTTGTTTTTGTAAGACAGAGACAGCGCATGCTGGTATAGTGTCCTCAAAATACAATTTGAAAATTATTGAGGAATGAATTAACCTCTATTTATATCTACTTTTAAAAAAGTGAATATTATTACACTCTTCTCCACTCTAGTTATAGAATTCTTCAAGGCTGGGCATTAACGAGTTAAAAATTAAAATTAAATTAATTAACTCCTTTTTCTTTTCAAATTAACTTTTAACTTAATAAGTTACTTTTTTTCAAGATTATCATGTTAACTTCAAGTTAATTTTATTTCAAAAATATCTAAATTAAGTTAATTTTCATCCGAAGAATAATGCAAATTTTTGAATGTGTTTTTAACTTGATGTATCATTTTAAATTTCCACAGTAATTTTCTTGGAAGTAAAGAAAAACTATCCAATAAATCATATTATGTGTCTAGAATTTTTATTTTTGCAAATCAGCAAATTTTAACTTTACACTAAGTTAAGTTACTTTTTTTTCAAAGTTAACTTTAACCTTAACGAGTTAACGAAAACAAATACGAGTAACTTAACTTAATTATTTTAAAATAACTTAACTTAAAGAGTTAAAAAAACCGTTAACTTGCCCAGCCTTAAATTCTCCATCTATACATTATATTCCCATAAACCTTCTTGATGTCTTCAATTAACTTGATACTTTAAACCTTAAAAACCCTATTGGCCCTGATGGGATATGTCCATTAATTGTATATACATTTATCATCTCTTATTCCATAACTTTCTTTTAAAAACCTCTCTAAACACGAGCTTTTCAAAAAAATTGGTTATTTTTCGATTGTTATTGATTCGTCTAATAAGGATAGGTACCCAAGAAGTGTACCCTATTCTAAAAAGACAAATTTTATATTATTTAATAATAAAATAGGAGATTATATTGATATATTTTCTTGCTTTTCATTAGCTAGTGTATAGATAAGGTGTCTAGTTTACGGCCTAGGTACAAAGATGTTTTGGTGATGACCTTTTTTTTTTTTTATTTATCGGGTCTACCATTTCAAAGGCCAACTTTCACTTCTATTTAAATTTTAATTTATTTATTAACAATATTATTTTAGATTTGAATCATTTTAATATTTTGCTCTTTGCTGATGTTGAAAACCTTTTCAAATTAATCAATTATCAAGAAGACACACTTAACGCATAAACAGAATGTCGGAATGCGTCTAATAAGACGGATGGTCAACAAAGGGTATTCGACATAATATCGACGATACCTGAACGAGCGAGAACATACAACGCGCAGCTGAAAATAATATTATACCAGCACACGACGCAAATGGCGTACCGCCCGGCTTAATGGCGGAAAGGTGTACCAAAACAGTTGTTGTGGCATGGGCCAAGGAACAACTTACCGTAGATTGCAGAGTTCGAGTGTTGACAAGACGGGAGAATCACCAGCAGCGACAGAAGCGTACTGGTCGCCGACGAATAATGGAATGTCACGGACGTACGCGTGTAAGGCGTCTTTTCAGTCGTCCGTTGTCGGTCGAAAAACGAATGCAACGAATAACATTACAATATCAGCAATGCCGTGTAACTTGGGCAAGTGGCGAGCAAGTGGAACGGTAGAGAGTAAAAAGGACAGTCGTGTATGTTACTTTATTAATCTGACGTTTACCGACAAGGCGTGCGAGCAGAAACGTGCAAGACGACGATAAACACAGCAATGGCGAAATGCGCAGGCGAGCTGTATGCCGAACGCTCTGTTTTGTAAGTTACCGACTTCTAGTAACAAGCGTCACTTGTAAGCATGAACTACTACACAGGACTGGACACTACAGAGAAAATCACGGACACAAAGTTGTACAGGGTTCGTACACATGCGATGTAACTGCACTCTGCCTGTTAGTAGTACGAACTACGTTTTTTATAGGATAACACTAAAGAATAGTGATATTAGTGATAATAACTGATAATAAATTTACTTTTTAATTTTTGAAAAACAATTATTAATAACACAGTTCAAGATAATAATGATACTATTTATAGAATATTATCAGAAAATAATTACTGCTTAAAGAGTGAACAGTTTAAGCATGAACTACTAAGGCGGTATTTTATATAACAAAATATTTCTTATCTCACAGATGGCGCTGTGTCGCATGTGTACCGAATATGTACAACTTTGTGGACGACCCCCTACTCTCCTCCTGCCAATAGTGTCCAGTCCTGTGTAGTAGTTCATGCTTGTAAGCGTCCGCCGCCTGTACACGTGTTGATAACAGCATGATAACTGTTGTTGTTGTAGCCTGTAGGCATTGTCGCGTCGTCCGGGAGGAAATTAGCATTTGACGGTTGCGCCGCCACAGCATGATAAAAAAACACGGTATGATAACAGCTTTATGATACGCATTACGCATACCCCTACACTACCGATCTTCATATAACGCAGTATCTAGTTCGTCGCTTTTCATTGGTTCATGGTTGTCATGATCCATATACAGAGTGATTCAAAATGTATGATACAATAATATACCATTACCATACCTATTATTGTAACGTATATTTTGAATCACTCCGTATATACATAGTGCATTTTGAGGCATAATGGATACGATTAACTGCGTTAACTCCGACGGTACTCGGTTCATTGCCATCACAGTCATACCGCATACCATGTTATTTTATCATGGTTGTAGAATCTGTGCCGGCCGGCGGGGACGTCACGTCCCCACCGACGACGCCGTTCATTACCACTAAAATTATACCATGCATCAACCATGGTAAAACCGGAGGTGTTGCGCGGGTGTGGACTGCGGAGTTGGATTTTGTTTGTTCTCAGTTTAAGATATTAATATATTAAGCGGCCCCTAGACGATCAATAATATTGTCAATAATATTGACGAGTTAGATTGACACCCGCGTCAATGTACGTCAATCAGCTCGTCAAACACAGCCATCAATACTCATTCGGAAATATTGACAATAATGTATGGGCCACTTAAATTTCGGAAATATTGACAATAAACGCTTCTAGACGTTCAATACGTCCTGTCAATCTTGCCCGTCAATGAGCATCAATCAAAATTTCTATCAATCTCTCTCAATGATTGACAATCCATATCAATATCCTTCTAAACGATCAATACTTGCTTCAATATGGTTCCGTCAATATTATTGATACAAATATTGACAATATTATTGATCGTCTAGAGGCCGCTTTATCTTAAATCGTGGTTTTCACCGACGACGCGTCGGCCGCCGCCGCCGCCGCCACCACCACCACCACCACCTGCCGCTGCTTCCTCCCGCCTAATTATCATGTTTTTGTTTTACAGATTACGTAGACGTATGGCATAGTTTTCGTCTACTCCCCCCAACATACTCGATCTTCGTACGAGTTGAATTCATACTTGAATTTATTATAGGACACGACATTGCGATGTGCGCGTGCACGTGTACCGAAAACGCGTCGTTGTCGCAATATTAAAATGATTGTCATATTGCCGACTTTGGACGTGCGACGACGACGACGTCTCGCGTATTTGAATTTTATCTCCGTTTATTCGGAGTGAGTGAGAGAGAAATGACGAGCCGTTCCCTGGTTGGGTGTGGGAGCGGGAAAGAGTGAGAGAATGAAAAATAATAAAAATATATCTCGTTCGACAGTGACGGGCTTGGCCATACCAACTCGAACTCGACTACACGAGTGACCGTCGGGGACGACGATAAAAAAATAAACTTTAACCGAGGACGAGGTCTCAGCCGTTCGCCGCCCACCGATTTTGCATGTCGTGCACTGCATCCGATTATTAAACATTCGCAGGACGACACCACAATAACACCTTTCTATACCTATGATTTATATTTTATGATAATAATCTGTAAATGTCATATTATTATGTGTGTAATGAAGTATGATAATAATATAATATAATATTATTGAACACAATAATTAATAACAAACACAAATAATAATAATACAAATAATAATAATACTGCCGAGTGCGACGGCCGACGAGTGTTTTTGTTTTCATTTGTTGTTGGCTCGGGGAATGCACACCGTCTGATTAATATTGCGCGTTGAAAAACAATCAGAGAGGATAGAGAAAAAAAAAACGTTAACAAAAAATTCGCAACCACAGCAGAAATCGCGTATCGTTATTGTAACATTATTATTATTATTATTATTATTCATTATTATTAACGGCGACACAATTTAGTTGGAATAGGTATTGTAGTTGTGTAATTCGCAGCCGCTGTTGTAGTTCTCTCGTCGACGATATTAATATTATTATTATAATATTATGTAAGCCCTCGGCGGGCCCGCGTAAAACCAAAGTCTGACGAGCGCCCTCGTCGTCCCCTCCCCCGGCCCTCCTGCCGACCGCCCACCAACCCACCCACCCACCGCCGACGAAAGCCCGACAACTTGTCGTCCACACGGTGTCGCGCTCGCCGCCGTCAGTTACTCAGTTGCCCAAAAGGTCGAGTCCGGTATGGTGACGGTTACCGCCACTACAGACTACAGTAAGTGGTCGTTACCATCGACGTCTTGTCCGTGCCACCGTCGTTATATTACGTTCGCTGCTATTGTTGTTACCGCTGTTACTCGTTACACGGCCATGTAGTAGTGGTATAGGTCGGCTGACACTCCGTCCGGACGTTAAATAGCAATAAATCTGTCGACGATAGTCAACAAATCGTAAATAAACCTAGGTCTCTTTAGTTAAGCTATGCAAACACCATGGCTCGTGTGCCATCACATCCATCAGCCGGACACAACAACCCATTGGTCAACCGTCTGGTCCGTGTTGGATACTATGAGCTGGAAAAGACAATTGGCAAAGGCAACTTTGCTGTTGTCAAGCTGGCCAAACATGTTGTCACAAACTCCAAGGTAAGTGCTATCTACCTATTCCTAAAAAATAAATTATTAAGTAGGTACCTATGTGTATAAAATTGTGTTATTGGCAAATATCATTTGACATTTATAGATGGATAGGTAGGTAGGTACAATTCTTTTATCTCCATATTTTTCTACCTACTTGAAATGTTTAAATGTTAGAAAATATACTGTTGTGACTGATGTTTATGTTCTCAACTCAATTTAATCTATGAAATTAAATTTTAAATTTTATGTAAATAAATACATGAAAAAAAATACTTATCAGTACATATTATACATAATGTAATCCAGTTATTTTTTTTTTATTTGTTATTAATATCTTTAAATGTACCTATGTATGTCTTGATGTTAACAAAAAAAAAATTTATCTGTATAAGTAACTTACTAGATATACTTATAAAAAAAAAATGTTCAGCGTTTAAAAACTGGAATCTTCAAAGTTGAATCAGTTCTGATACAGTTAATATTATTTAAAACAAAAAAAAAATAATTTAGTTGTGTTATATATTTTTTCTATAATAACCCTTAAGTAGGTATACTTCTTTAGGAGTACCTACAATTTTTTTGCATATTTAACCAACCTCTTAAAAACTAAACCGATTTTATTTTGAATAAAAAAAGTAGATTATAGGTAGGTAGGAGGTGAATTGTTTTAAATCTTCAAAACAAAAGTTTTTGTACAAATACCTTTTAAAATTATTCAAATTCCTCCTACTAGAATGAATGTTAAACATTTATTTTTTATAATGATTTTTAAATAATTTTTATACATTTGTAAATTATTAGGTAGGTACATATTATATACCTACCTTTTTAATATTTATCCTTATAATAATGAAGTTTTCATTGCTAAATTAACTAGCATTAAATATAATTTAGTGATTGTTACTTTAAAATTATTTTTACTACTATAACTTACCTATATACTTATTATATTCAGTTAATTTAACTATATAAGTATATTATATAAAGCTATATATGTATATAAAAAAATATATTATATCCCATTTATGTTTTATTAATATGATACTTAACTACTACATAGATAGTGTTAAAATTAAAAAGGTAATTTAACTCATAAATCATATAGGTACCTAATTTTGATAAATACAATTTACCTACTTAGTACAATTTGCTTTCTGAGTGTTTTATTATTATCATTATTATTTAATAATAATCACATATGTAACATATTGTAACAATATAATAATGGTAAGGTTAGTGGAATTGAATTATTTCTTGGCAAAGAGCCTAACTATATGCTTTTATAATTTGTTAAATTATTTTATTTTATTTTTTATGTATAAAACAACTCGATTATTTAATATATCTACCAGGGTATCTACCTAATATAATTAACAAGATAATTAAAATATTAAAATGTCTATTATTTTACAATTTTGATCATAATTAGTAATTTATTTATTAACCAAATAATTGTGCTTATAATATTTTAGTAAAATATTTACCTACTTAATTACATTTTCAATAACTTAAGAATTAGATATATTTATTACCTCGTATATTACTTGATTTTAAATATATAAAGAGCAAAAGTAGGTAACCTTTCTGCTATACAGTAGGAGTCGAGTGTATCGCACCATCGAGTTGGCACTGTAATGGATGTGTTAAATTTGAATTCAATAATAAATCATTGTAAACAATGAAAAATGATACTGTTCAAAGACGGTCTAACTTTTTGTTAATCAATGTTACCAAACAATTATTTTAATAATAATAATAATAATAACATTAGTTGTCGAGCCGTAATAGTTTTGTGCTAATGGCTAATGGCTAATAATAATAAAAAAAAAATAATAATATTAACATTTTAACAAATCCCCCTCCCCACAATTATATTAAAAAATACTGTGAATTTTCAATGTTGTCCTCCCAAAATTACTAATTAGATGTGATTTGCTCCCTTAAACCTCCATCAAAATTGATGATTTTTTTTCTACAAGAAAATGTGTCTAGACATAAAAATAAAATATTCTAAATAAAGCATAGATACTTTATATTAATCATAGTATCAACATAAGCATATATTTTATGGATGAGTCATATTTTACAATTTTAAACACCTAGTTAGTTAAATATTTTTCAATATTACAATAGATATTGATCAGGGTTATGACATAGGTAGTATGTTTTAATTTTTCAATAGATTTTATGAATTACATTTGTGTCATTAGGCAATGCATGTCTATTCATCTTATACTAATTTTGGATTCTATTATATCTTTACTCTGGCTCTAAAAAAAAAATTGATTTTTATTAAAAACAAAATTGTTATTTATAAGGTTTTAATGAATACATTATCCATCTATTTATTTTTCCTATAGTGTAATACCTACCTATACTTTTATTTTTATTAATGTTTAGTTAATTAAGTAACTTCATAACTTTACGTTGAGTCTAATGTAAAAACTAGTATATTATCTAGTACTTTTAGGTATTTATTTAAAATTGAATTATTTAGCAAAATTTAATCAAACTATATAGGTGATAGGTATCTAAGGTACCTGTATATAAGTGTAATATATTTTACCTTTTGTTTTAATTATTCAAGTATGTTATATATACCTATATTCTGATTACTCCTTAGTGTATAAACTAAACTGTATTAAAATCAAAAACAAACTTTTTTTTTTACTTAATGAATAATTTTTAATCACATTCTTATTTAAAATATTTTATTCTATAAATAACATTGTGTGTCAGTTATAAAATAACTGTTGTAGACAATGAATAGAAAACAAATTTTATTATAATACTACCAATTGAATTTCCTCATAATACGGTAGATATAAAATGAGTTTCTTATTTTTCATATGACCTCTTATATGGATATTTAACACTTAATTTAGATAATTATAATATATCCATCATAACCAAATCATTTTTTAATAAATCAATGCATACCTGATTTAAATGGTGTTACAAATAACTTGAACTATTCCTGTCATATAGTTAAACAAATTTTTAACTTATAATGATAATATAGGTATTATATATTTTTTTAATCAAATATATTCTAAAATAAAAAATATTGGTTAGGTTTACATGGTTACATGGTTATGAAATTAATGTTGTAAAAAATATTGAAAAATGTTTATATTTTATTGATAGAAAAATCTAAAGGAATGTGTAGGTATTTGTATGAATAAAATGGAAATGAAAATAGTAATGAAACAAAATGTATTGTTATTTGTTAACTTGTACTACCTAAAGTATTTATTTATAAACAAATGAATAAGAATTTTTTTTTTTAATATAGGTATTCTTCCATTTGATGATTTGTATTCAAAGAAAAATGTGTCTAACCTTACAGTAAAGTGTTTTTTTATAAAAATGGGCAAAAAAATCATAGATCTGAAATATGCAAACATATAGTAATACCTAGTTGTAATTTTAATCAACTTTATATCTCACTAGTTATGGTGTCATCTGATAAGATTTGATTAATATGCAAAATCCGTATGTTTAATATAACTAGGTCTCTAACATTGCATTCATTTATTTTGTAAATTATCCCTTAGTAAGCTATATAATATAAAATAATGTAAGAGTTTATATAAAAGATATCTTTGTGTAATTTTGTTAACTTATACAAAAATAATTTTTGTATTTTGAGAATATTTTTTTTAAATAATATATTTACAAAGCAATTTTTATGTTGAGACTTATACAATTATTCTGGAGTATTTTATTTTATATTTAATAATCATGATTATAATTTAGTGTAATAGGTTGTATTCAGTTCTAAGTACTTACAGCAATACTGTTATTAATTTACTGTTAGCAATACATATTTATTTTTTTATTGTTTAAATACAATATTGTAGTATTTTTCTTTTGTGTAATAGATATGTAGGTAGTCTATTTTTTAGTTTGATTATTAGATGATTACGTATGGATTACCTTAACCTTTGGTTTTATTATTTTTTTTTTTTATCAAACTACTGACCTTAGCATTTGATTTTGTATTAGTATTGGAAAAAATGAGTTTTCTATTTTTGCATTAGGAACTTATAAATTATAATTAATCAACATTTGTAATGACTAGTTCAAAATTTAGCTTAAGCATTTAAAAAATTTAAAATAATATTCCTAATATTAAAGTTATGCATTATAAAGTAAAGTAAGTGCTCAATTGCAATTAGTAGTGCCTAGTACCTAAGAAACCTAAAATTGAAATTAAATTAAAATAAATAGGCTATCCAATGGGATAATTTTGTTTATTTAATTATCTATGCCTTCATTTGTTTGTATTATTAAATTTCAAATGTTTCATTATAGTATAATGATACTTAACAGTCATTCACTTTAACTGCATGGTTCAATATATATATATAATATTAGGTAATTAGGTACCATTAAATTTAAATTTATGTGGAAAGAAGTTAAATTTGTGTCATTTATTGCAAAACTAATTGAATTATATATTTATATAATTTATTTTTAATTATTATATACAATATTATGAATATTCAGTCACAGCATTAGATTATATTAAGTTGTTTCATACAATATATAGTATTAAGACTAACGTTTATTTTTTATTTTTGTTAAGCCTACTAAATTAAAATTAAATATTATTTTTTTTCTTTCAGAATGTTCGTTATCATAATCTTACATAAATATGAATATCTATTATCTTCCAATATAGTGTTTTACAAAAAGTATAACATTAAATAGGTATATGACGTATACAATAACACAACATTGTATATTTAATGTTTACTACAATATCCAATTATACACAATAGATAATAATATATATTATTGTTAGTAGAATTGCATAAATATAATCCTGTTAATGTTTACTTGTACTTGGTATTACATTTGGTTTCATAACGATAATAATAAAAAAAATAAAATCATGAAGATGCTGACCTCTTCATTCCATTTAAAGTATTAGATAAAATAATAGTTTAATTTAATGATTAAGAACAATTTCATTTGGCAAAATCATTATTTGTAATATTATCTCTTAATTTTCAATTTTAATTATTTTGCATAATTCATTGTTGACTTCTGCAAAAATATCACTATTTACGATTTATTCAATTTATTTTTAAAACAATATTTTTATTTTGAATCTTATTTGTATTTATATAGAAAAATATTTATAAATCACTTAATTACATTATACATCAATAAACATATTTTTTAAATCAAAATGAGTTATTTCTGTCTTTTTTAAATGAATTAGATAAAAAGTATTAGGTATTACCTCATTTAAATATTTAACATTTTATCAACAAGTTAGGAATATGTCAGTGCAATAGTTGTTTTTCTATCAAAACCACATGTAACAGATAAAACGCTCTCACCTAAAATCGTTTTTTATGATTATTAAGTAATCCTAGAGTAAAATCACCTATTTCAAAAATTATAGAGGATAATATTTTTGAGGGTATGGCATTAGTTTTACATTTTATTTTTATTTGACTTTGTATTCAAATTTCAAAATAAAAAATAAAAAAGTGTTTAATTAGATTTCGCTCTGCTGTACAGTAGGTTACAAGTGGGTCACTGTATAATGGATTGTATTCAATTTGAATTCAATGATATCATATCATTGTATATGAAAAACGATTCTGGGCAGAGACGGTTTGTCAGTCTAGGTATTTTATTATAGCCTGTAAGTTGAATTAATATTATAAATTACAACAAAATAACTAAAATTGTTTTTTTATTTTCATTTTCATTCGTTTCTATGGTGATATACAAAGCGTTAAAAATTAAAATTCCATTTCTAGCGGTTTTTTGTAATTTGTTGGCGGTTTTTCCTGTGGCATTAAATAACTATTGAGAAAATCAAAAAATAACCTTTTTAAAGTACCATCTTGATCCAATTTGCTAAAAGATAAGATAAAATATGTTGAAATCAAAGCACTCCTTCTGGTAGAAATTTTGTATACTGTATAAAAAAAAAAATAATAAAAACACCATGATAAAACTATTAGATCCCTCACTCAGCTCAGAATCGAAAATTATGTTTACATTGTTTTGAGATAACATATTTTAGACAAATTATACCGTCAAAAATAATATTCTTTATCATTTTTGTAATGGGCGGTTTTACTCTAAGGTTACTCAAAAACATTAAAAAAATGATTCTGCGTAAATTAACTTTGCCTATGTTGTGCGTGGGCCAGAGAGAAAAAACAAACAGTGCGCTGACATCCTCTTAAGTAAATATTGAAAAAATTAATAAAACTATTAGATATTTCTGAAAGTATCACAACTAAGAGGATTAAAATTATTAAATTAGCTTTTGACAAATGATATAATAGAAATCCGTATAATATTAGCTATGAATAAAAACTATTATTTCTAACTGAATAATAATTTGGAACTTGAATAACTTTTGAAAAATTATCATAGCTCAAAAAGAGTAGAAATAGATTAAAAACATTATGTATGGAAAATGCTAGTATAAATATTTGGTGAACATTTCAAGAGTATACGCCATACGGTTATGCTTTTTGGAAATATGTACCTGCAACACAATATCTAAATTCGATAATTCGATTATCAAGTATTATAAAAATTATAAGTTCAGACAGTCATAAAAAATATAAGCTTCCAAAGTTAGAATTTTGACAAAAATTTTCAAAATCACAAACATTTATAACATATTTTAAGTTACAAGTTCATTAAACATTGTCCATGTATATTGTATATCTAAAATTTGGAAATTTAATACAATATTTCCCATATGTTTTCCTATATTTATCAAAATATTTGAAGTTAGGCATTGGATATTCACCCTTAAATTAACAAATTCCTTATTTTATTGTAATTCTTAACTTAATTGAAATTTTAATCAAATGTTAATTGTATCATTTACTATACACGATAAAATATTTTGTCTAAATTTGGCCAGAGAGAGAAAACAAACAGTGCTGACATCCTCTTAAGAGCATGACAAGTTAACATGGAACTAGACGGCTAACTGGTCATAACGTACACAGAACATATACATGTATAATCTGCAGATTATTATAGTAATTGTGTGTATATATATAAGATAAATATCACAAATTGACCCAACAGTTAAATTTAATTTTAGTTAAATTATTTATTGATCATTATTTAACTTTTTTTGGATAAATATGCTATGGATAGATTATGCTAATGAATCAAACACTGTTTAATCAATTTAAATACATTAATCCACAATTTATATTGTCAACACCTAAGAGTGAGCATCAAATTAAAAACACAAAAATACAAGCATGTTATATCATTATTTGCTTAGATTTTTACTATCTGAAAATAATAAAAAAAAACTTGACAATATAGGCAATACATATTTTTTTTTGATATGAAAAAAGAATGGGGGGATACTTGCATTTACAATAAAAATTTAGTATCTGAGAGCTATAATGTATAATTTCTATGGCGGGGATTTCGATGCAGTTTTAATTTTTTTCCAGAGGTTGCTGTACGATGCACGTCTGGTCACAAATCTGTAACATATTCTTATGAAGCAAAATAAAAAAAATATTTGGCAATTTTTTGCATTTTAAAGTCATTTTTTTCATTTTTTAAGGCATTATTAGAGTTTTTTGATCCAGTATTCAAATTTAAAATGTTATTTTAAGATTTTACACGCTAATGCGAGTTTTATATAAATTTATAAAAATTATTTTTGGTTTATAACTAAAATGGCTATTTATGTTTTAAATATTTTTTTGTTTCAGGTTGCCATTAAAATAATTGACAAGACACAATTAAATGAGGATAATTTGAAAAAAATATTTAGGGAAATTCAAATCATGTCAAAACTTAATCATCCACATATAGTGAGATTATTTCAGGTACTTATTGTTTTATTTTTTTCAAAGGGGAATGTATAATATATAATCTTATCATAGCCTAGTTTAACTGTTATACATTTAAAAATAGCAAAAAGTTGTTTTATCTAATGTTCAAATATTTTTAATTGTGTATTTTATTTATTATAACTATCATAAGAAAAAAATCAGGGTTTTAGTATTGTATTTTTTGAACTGTTCATGAAAATCAGACACATAATATTGTTCTAAACAATTATACTTTATCAAAGTACTACATCATAATATTGTGCTTTGTTTAATAATGTTAAATAAATAGGTACATATAATTAGCATATGAATGGAATATATTATAACATATTTTAAATTTAGTTCAAAATTTTATATTAAATTTAGTTTTTATTATTATTATTATTTTACACTTTTATTAAACATCTGGTGGTTTAGCTGAGGTGTTTTTGAGGATTCAACCAGGCGAATTATTAAATTTAAATATTTACAGGTTTCTACCATATGACAGCATTTTTTTTTTCATTACAATTTTTCACAGCTTTTCCAGCTGTAGCTGCTAACCTATAGTATCTTAAGAATAAAATATTTTTCATATTATCGATGTAATATTGTTTATTATTTACACTGTAGACAATAATCAGCTGATAAAGGATATATTATATTATGTCTTATAAATTATAATGTTAACATGCAGTCATGTCTTAACGATACTATGTAACTGTGTCTACGCTATACATCTAGCCTCGTGAAAACTAGAATAAGGAAACCAAACTTGAAAATGAAAAAAAAACGTCCTGTAATGAGTCACATGCTTCTTCACAAGCATGGTATAGGGACTATTCATGTTTTTTTTATGTTATTACTTTAGAAGCAGAGTTTGGTCTCTGTATTCTACTCTTCATGTTTAACCTATTCACAAAGTGATTACGCTTTGGTTTTTACAACTTTATCATCAAAATATCAGCATATTATTCTACTGTCATTATTTAAATGTATAAATTTTACTTGTTTTTTTTTATAATTTTAATGGTTGGAGAATGGAAATTATAGAAACATTTATTTGTAAGTGTTCCTTGTTCAAAAACCCAAAAATAACAAATTGGAAGTACTTTTCAATTTCAATTCAATCAATTTTGACATCACTCTACAAACTTCTAAAAAAAATTGATAGTTACCTGTCAGTACATAAAGCAGTGATAGATAATTTTTATCTTTAAAACTTCCAAAAAAAAAAAATAATTATTATTGGAAATTATGTTTTGAGTGGCTTAGCAACAATTTATACTCACCTTGAAATCATGTGTGATCATTAGGGCTTGGATGTTGTAGAACGTAGTAGTAAAAAAACTAGTAACATTGATTGCATTATTGCACTAAAAAATACAGAAAATTGTATTAAAAAATAATAATATTTTGTTGTAAATGTTTTTAATTCATAGTTATTAATTTATTTATAACAATCATTATTTTTTACTTTACAGTTCACTATATTTTAAATAAATATTTAATAAAAAATAATTTTACATTTATTTTCATCTTTCTTTTTTCTTGCTTTGTATTTAAATTCTACAAAAATATTTTATATTTTATTTTAACAATGTAAACTACAAAAACATTGAATTGGTCTAAAAGTGTGTGTTTTAAATGTTCATATTCATACATTCTTCGATTTGGAGCCAAAAAGTGAAAATAAAAATAAAATTCCAAACAGTTAAAATAGTTTTATAAATGAGTACAAAGTAGCAATAATATTGAAAAATTGCAAAAAATTGCACTTTAAAATTTTATATTTTAATTTTAATTTATATGAAACCATTCAAAACTTGCTTAGCAATAAATCGGAACAGTAGAAAAAAACATCCGTGTAGTGCATCATTATTAGCTAAAGACTCCAGGCCAATTATACTTTTGTAGTATTTTACAATTTTAAACAAATTACATCTAAAATAGTTTCTTACTCGGCTAGTTAGGAAGGTATATAATATAGTTTTTATTAATAATTAAATTTAAAATTTTAGATTCTGAGGGGAAAGATGAATGTATTGATTTTACAATGTGTGTTTTTTTTATTTATTTGTCTGTGTACACGATAAGTAGATGAAATAATGCTTCGATTTTCAACTTCAGTATCTTGTTCGATTGGAAAGTGAATATCGTTGTTGCATCGGGGAAGTCAAAATTTGGGATCAGCCAAGAAAAACAAAAGAAAAATTAAGGAAAAACGGGAATTTTTACGCAAAATTGGTTTTTCACAAAATTTAATTTGGTTTTTGGTGTAACTTTAAAACAAATTACCGTAGATACATGAAATTTTCACTGGTTGTTTATATTTGCATTTTCTATACACGATAAAAGTTTCAAAATATTTTGATTTATTTTGAACTCTTTATGGACATTTTCTTTTTACATTTTTTTTTTTTAGTTTTTTTTCTAAAATTATCAATAAAATTTTATTTGTTCGCTAAAAAAGCTTGAAAATTTAATAGAAGGCTCCTAGTATATTTTTTCAAAGGTAGATGAAAAATGTTAAAAATCCTTGGTCACAGTTTTTTTTTATAAGCATTTAAAGTTCAAAAATTTACAAAATATGGAAAAATTACGAAAATTAGCAAATTATTTTGAGTTATGAATTCGTAAAAATTTTTCTTTTTAAATCTAATATTTTAAAATGTAATACAAGATTCCTTATAAGATTATCTACCTTTATCAATAAAAAAATGTCTATAAGAAATTCAAATTAAATTTTTATTAGCGTTTGAAATTCAAATTTTTACAACATTGGATATTCACTCGATTTCTCATGTAGCGATTTCCTTATTTTGTTGTAATTCCAAAAATGAATAACTGTAGATTCATGAAAATTTCACTGAATGTTTATATAAGCATTTTCTATACACTATACAATCTTGAAAATATTTTGACTCTTTTTGAGCTGTTTACGGACATTTACAGCTTTCTTTTTTTTTAAGTTTTTTTTTCTATAAATATCAATTAAGTTTTATCTGTTGGGCCAAAAAGTGTAAAAATTTAATACAAGGCTCCTGATATATTGTTACAATATCAGTTGAAAAATATTAAAAATACATAGACACAGTTTATTTTTATAGTCCTTTTAAGTTCAAATTTGAACGAAATTACCTACTTAATAAAAATCCTAGAATAACTATTTTAGTTATTTTGTTGTGATTGTATAATATTATTCGTGGCTACTTGATACTCTAAAGTACACTATTATATATCTATGATAGTATCAGGGTTTAATGTTGATGTATAACGCGTTATAAGTACCTACCTAATGGATATTGTGATATGATTAATTTGGAATGAATTATAGGTCATTTTTTTTTAATACCATAGATAAGTATTTAATATGTCTTATACCTAGACTGACTTACCGTCTCCGCTCAGAATCGTTTTTCTTATACAATGATATTAATAAATATTATATCTTTGAATTCAAATTTAATACCATCCATTATACAGTGACCCACTTGTAACGTACTGTACAGCAGAGCACCTTTCTATTATTTTGTTAGTATAGTTAAAAACTACTACAGCTTATACTTTATGGTATAATTTATATTAGTTTTTTTGTATTTGTTTTTGACTATTTCTCCCATGTGTCCTTAACTTTTTCTAATTTATCTGCAGATTTTTCTACAATGCTAATACTTTCTATCAAAGACATGTTTTTAGTTTTCAATTATGTAATTGTCTGATTCATAAAACAAAAATCTGCATTAAAGTATGTCTTGTTGTTTTTTAAATTGATATTTTTCATCCGTGTATTTGCTTTTTCAGTAGCTCAGTATTGAAATAACATTTTTTATTTTGTCAAAATTATCCCAATAGTATGGGCGGCTTCAAGCCATGTATCCCATCTTGTTATAATAGGTTCAGGAGGTAAATTAAGATCTAGGTACATTTCTTTAAATTTTGAAACAACTTGTTTTGGCGCTTTTAAGAATATTTTTTTAACTTTCCTTATTAATTGATCAACTTTGGAATAATTACATTTTATTGTTTCTGTAACCCGATGAAAGCCATGCACTAAACATGTCAAATGAACCAGTTTAGGGAAAAATGCTGTCAAAATACTACCGGCTTTAACCATTCAGGGTTGAAGAATTGGTTAAAAATAAAAATACATTTTCATATTTTACACCATTTGGCCATAATAAGTTCATATAATAGAATCATTAAATAATTTAGCAATAGTTTTATCATTGCATTTTTATAACTGCAGACAATTTAAAAAAAAATGATTTAGTTGGCGCAGAACATAGTTTGCCAATGATTACATTACCAATATACCTGCCCTCTGCATCTGTTTATTCATCAATTGAAACCCATATTGGTCCATCTCTAATAAACTGTCTTATTGATTTTAATGTTTCCTCGTAAATTATATTAACATAATTCTTTTGTATAGTACTTTCATCTTAAATTTGTTGTCCGGTATATTTCTCTAAAAATCTGTGAATTCTCGATTTTTTAGTTTGAAAGTTGGAATATCTTCGCAAATCAACATACGACATAAATTGGTATTAAAAGCTGGCAAATTATTGGAAGACGTTAATGGCTCTGAATTCCAAAAAAAATTTTACGATTTCTATTTTGTTGGTGCTTTGATATTATACATTGTATAGATACATGCTGAGTAACTGGAAAACCCTGATTTATTGATACTGCCTGTTAACAGCACAAACAGAGTAAGATTTCTCTGTCACTTTTAAATGTCTTGTTAGGAAACTCTTTCAAATAAAAATTTTCTCTCTATTTCACAAATTTTTTAATTTTAAAAATTAGAAACTAGTTGTACATGAGATTACGTTGTAAATGCTACTACTAAAACGATTGTCGAGTATGTAGGTAGCACTTCTTTATCTTATATTTATATCGTCCAGCATTACTAATATCGATAATAACTGAACTAGTTACTAGTTATAATCTATATAGTGGCATGATGCCGCTTGCCGGAAATAAGTACGTAGATGACATTTAGATAACGTATAATTTTTTGTGGTCGTCAAAAATTACTAATCTTGTATATTAAGACAAAGCAGATAATGTTTATAGTCTTCGAAAATAAATAAAAAAATTACTAAAATATGTAAAATAAATTTTTGTTTATCTCAATTAAAATGATGTAAATTGTACACATTTTTTATCATATTTAAAATATCTCATTCCAATAAAAATATGTATTTACAATAAAATCCGTTCCCTATAGCGTTGTATTTATTATTTTCTTATCTAATACTATTTAAATTTGCAGGTTATGGAAACTGAAAAGATGATTTATTTGGTAACAGAATATGCTGCTGGAGGAGAAATTTTTGGTAAGTATAATTGTAATGTTTACTTATCTGGTTAATATGGTTATAAAAGAGATGTGCAAAATGTATTTTTTGCTGTAGTTGGCTTCATGAAAAATTAATCATTTAATAATCATGAACCTGGCTCTTCAAAATGCATGAAATGTTTACATTGTTATTTTATACTCTGGTTAAAGCAATTATTTTAGATCCATGTATAATTTATATTGGCTATTTCATATGCACATTTTATAAGATTGATTAATTATATAATATTTCAATTCCAATTTAGATTTTCTGGTTAAAAAAGGAAGAATGGATGAACCTGCTGCTTGTCATATTTTTAAACAAATAGTTGAAGCTGTTAGCTATTGCCATAATAAAAATATAGTTCATAGAGATTTAAAAGCAGAAAATTTGCTTTTAGACGCTGATAACAACATCAAACTTGCAGGTACCATTTTTATTTAACAAATAAATACATACAAGCATGAATTACTGTCCATTTTTAAAATTATTTAACTTATTATTAAATCATTTAGATTTTGGATTTAGCAATCATTTTTATGAAGGAAAATTACTTTCTACTTGGTGTGGTTCTCCTCCTTATGCAGCACCAGAATTATTTCAAGGGCAAGAATATGATGGACCAAAAGCTGATATTTGGGTAATAATTATATTTATTATATTAAATTTGTAAATATTCAAATTGTTTTGATTCAACTTTTTGTTCTTATTTTGCATTTATTAATTATTTTTACATAACCACGATTAAAGATAGTATGATTGCCCAACAAACCTTAAAAAGTTTCTACCAAAATGAATCACTATAAACAGCTGGAAATTTCTGCATTAGCGCTTTTATGTTATAGTGACTATAAATGTAGTGTTCCCATTCAAATGTAAATTATAGTTGCTTGATAATCACTATGACATATAAGCGCTAGTGCGGCAATGTCTAACTGTTTAAAGCCCCGTCCACACCAAAGAAAATTTTGTCGGAAACAAGGTTTCCAACATTGTCATTGACAATGTTTCCGATTTCCGCTCATAAGTGGTAACATAAATATTTGTCGACGACAATGTCAGAAACATATGTTTCCTACAAATGTTTTTTGGTCTGGACCGGGCTTAATACTTATTATAGAGATTCATTTCGGTAGACACTTTTCAAATATGGGTCGATGAGCAACCATACAGAGCCCTGCATATAACCAAATTTAGCTGATAACGTAACATTATATTTTTGCAGAGTTTGGGTGTAGTACTGTATGTATTGGTTTGTGGTTCTCTTCCGTTTGATGGAAACACACTAAAAGTACTTCGTGCTAATGTTCTTTCTGGAATGTTTCGTGTGCCATATTTCATGTCAGCTGGTAAATAATTATAATAAAATCTTTTTTAACTGACAAATCTAACACTTATATAATTTATATAATATTAAAGTTATAGTAGTAGTATTTGATCTAATATTTAATACAATAATATTTCAGTTTATTCTGAATCATTGTTCACATTTTTCTGGGGGATTAATGGCTGTTTTAAAAAAATTAAATTAAATTAAATATTACTTCAATAAAATGTTTATTCTAAATTCACTACATTATATACTTGTATCTTTAAAAAATCTTTTTTGAATCAATGATTCCATTTGATGAATTACGGTTACTTAAATGATCATTGATATAATATAATAATGTTTTAAAAGTATCAATAATATTTAAAATATTTTATATTATTGAAGTGTTTGGCATAATCCAAACCTGTTAATATTCAATTTAAAAAATCTATTTTTATTTGTTTTCTTAAAATGTACATTTCTTGATAATTTTTTTTTGTATATGTTATAACGGTTAAGTAGTGTGCATTATAATGTATTGTTATTTGTTCTAGACTTAAATATTTTTTTTTAAACATTGTTCTTTGGTTTAGTTAATCAATGTTTTGATTTTTTTGAAATAGTAAAAGATAAATCTAAGATATAATTTGTACATCCATGGTGATTCCTAACTATTATATCTTAAATAATTTCCCAGTTATCCAATAATTCTAAACCCATTAATTTGCTCTAGTGACTTGTTTTTTACATAATTTATTAATAACTATTTTTTTACTAGCATGTGAACATTTAATACGACATATGTTAGTCATTGAGCCTGAAAAGAGACTAAGTCTGAATCAAATAGAGTCTCATAAATGGATTAAACAGGTACTAAAGAATGTATTTTATCTACATTCCTATAATATCTTTTACATCTTGATTTTAATGTTTAAATTATATTATACTTTTAGTTGTCTGAACCAATTACTAAAAGATTAATAGTAGATGTAAACCCAATGATGAATACAGCTGTAATAGAACTTATGTTACAATTACCTGGTCTAGATAAAGATATGATTGTTAATGTAAGTTTTAATATATTTATTTATTTGAAGTATGTTTCAAGCCATTTAGGTGTATATGTATATTAGAAGTTTAGACATTTTATAACAAGACTGGTGCACTTTGGTGTAAGTGAACCTCTTTTAGTCGGGATGACACCTAGGTGCTAGAACATATTATCTTGTTGTAAGTCTATTAAGGAACTCCTAAGTGTTTTTATATTAGTACCAACTAGTACTATTACTTAGTGCTTTGGTGCATGTCTATTATTTTTTTTTATGCAGAAAACTTGTTAAAAGCTGTGTTTGAGTAGTTATTTGTCTTAACCAGTGTAATTCAAACCTGCATGGCAATTGTGTTTGCTTTGGTTTAAGTATATCTTGGTTTGAATTTAATACACTTAGATTTTAATTTGTTTGTAACTAAATAGAGCATAGAAAACGTTATTTTTTTGGATTATCGCATATGATTTGTACAATAACAAAACATCACTAATATAAGATTGACAATATCCTTGTGTGACTCAAGTAATTATGGAAGTATTATGCAGTATTCTATTAGTTTAAGAGAGATTATTAGAAATTTAGCATGAATTTATTTAATTTTAAATCAATTAGTATTATAGTCTAAGTAAAAAATATCTTCATATTTTTATTTTATTACCAAATATTAAAAAAAAACTCAACTTTGTGAATATATTGTTTTATTAATCAGTTTTTAAACATAGAATCAATAGAATCAATTTCTGTATTCAAAAACTTAAATGTTGATAACATGTGTTCAGTGTTGTCTCCGACTTACAAGTACGTTACATAGCAAATGTTAAGCTCAGCAGATCATGTTTAGGTTTGTTAGTTTAAAAATTAGAGTTAAATTATAAAATTATACAATTAAGATTATTACCTAAGGTGACATAAGTTTTTTGTTATATTTTAATTTTAAAGCGAGTTATGAGTATTTTAAGATGTACAAACAATTTACAATTTTAATATTCTCATAACTTGCTTTAATATTAAAATATAATAATAATCCTATGAGATGCCCTAGATAATAATTTTACATTTAAATTTTATAAGAGGTCTATTCACTCTAATTTTAAAACCAACGGAGGTAAATGTGATCTGCTGAGCTTAAGATTTGCTATGTTACTCACTAGACAACAAATATCTGTGTAGTGTCCTCTTAATAGTTAACATTTTGCATGAACTTATACTTAGTAAAAGGTCTAGGTAATTTTGTTTGATTGTTTGTTTGGTATCTTATCAATATTTTTTGGCTATTTAGAAAAACTAAGTATGTCACATAAACCTCATAGTCTGTCCAGAATTCCATTTTTGCAGGGTATCTCACAATGATGTGCAGAAGAACTGATTTTCGTCGGTCTGCAGTAGGTTCTCTTACTGGAGACAGTATATAGTATGTTCCAAAAGTCTCGTTTTAAACTTAGTATTGTCTTGGAAAATCAAAATATTTAAATGCTGTTTTTTACAGTACTTATAGTATAACAATTTTAATTGAATGACAAAAGATTCAATTGAGATTGATTGAATCATGTGATTACTGTTTTCTTACTTAACTATTAATCTTATGAATTCAACTACTCTTAACTTACTTGATTAATTTTAACGATGTTTAAAAAATATGATCAAGAAAAAAAGATATTAGTATTTCCATACTTAACTGTAAAAAACCATATTTAAATATATTGGATGCCATAGAGATACAAGGATGATTCTGGACTTTTAGGGCATTCTGTATACTAATAGACAGTATCTGTATGAGTGGTGCGGTTATTTAGTGATGTAGATTCTCTAGTACAAAATATTAAAAATTAAATTAAAACCATAGACAAGTATTAAAACGTTAATGTTTATTGATAATACGGTATTCAAGTACCCTCTATCCAAACACTGAGTCATGTTTTGTGCTATCCATATTAGCACTGTGCAGTGTAGCCTCCGTTAACGCAGAAACCAAAAAACTTATTGAACAACATTTTTTTACATGTTTATGCCGAAACCCTGGTTTAAGAAATATTATACTATAGCAGAAACTACTAATTTGCTCCATCTATTGATATTAATGTAAAAGGTGAAACGGTGAACATAGGTAACGCTGTTAGTGGTGACCCACATTTCTGCACATGTGCTTAGACCACACCAGTTTATGCATAATTGAAAACTAAAACAGCATAAATAAATACTTAATTATCGTGTTATTTCATGATTCATGAATATGTTTTACAAGATTCAAACAAATTTAAGAAATTACGATTTATAAATAAACTCATACTTGTATTAAGTATTACTAGTAACTTGTCTGGTTTTTGATTTCAACGTTTTATTATATCGACTTATTATAATAATACATCACCACACCACTCAAAACTACCTATTAATATAAGGTCTTTGAATAAGTATTCATTTTCAAAATTCTATTGGATGCAATGTATTTTTGTACACATTTTGATATAATATTTCCCAGTATTTTCTAACAATAATATAATATCATAAAAATCATGATTAAAGATAGAATATAATATCTTTAATTGTGGTACAAATACTAGTATCTATATTATCAAAATAAAAACCTCATAAGTCATAACTATTACTATATAATTATGATTAATGAACATATAAGTGCTAAATTTGTTATTAAATATTCCTTATAATCCTCATAAGTCCATATATATATCCATAATGTTTCATTATTCTTCATATACATAATAGTGTTAACCATTCTATTTAATTTTTTTTACACAATTGAAACTATTCTCTCAGTATATTTAATTCTCTTAACCACAGCTTCTCACACACACCGTGCGGACCTCCGCTCACTAGCACTAACTAGGAATAACTAACCTATGATGGGAGAGTCACACACACTGTTATCGGTGACTCCCACCCATGCCCAGATGTTATCATCCGGTCGTCTTGATCTTCCTGTTGTTCTCAACAGTAGGATACATACTGAGGCATTATAATTAGTGAAATTCAACAAACAATTTACAAGATTTACAACCCTTGAATTTTACAAATAACAAATGTCTTCAGTCTTAGACAACAAAATTACATGATAATAAACTTAAAAAAATACAATTCAACAACAGTAGTCAGCATGCCACACAGGTGGCTTTCTCACTCTACTGAACCTTCCTTGAACTGTTTCAGACATTTTTTCAGCTTCCTTTCTACCAATAGTCTCACTACAACCACACTTTTCAATCGTTTCTTCATCATCATCCTCCATTTGCTCATCTCCTCTGTATATCCGCCATGATTTTAACTGGGACACATGTGCCATCGTTGCATATCTGCTGTTTTTAGTTTGGTCCAGTTCTGCAACACTGTAGATGTCTCCCTGTAGCAACTCAATGATAACCAGCGGTCCTCTGTAGTGGTCTTGCAACTTTGTGGACTCTCCAGTAACCGTGGGAACTCTTTTCATGATCACTACCTCTTCGTTTGTATAATGGGTGTTGTCGTGACTGTGCCTATCATCCTGGCCTTGTCCTTGTCCTTCTTCTTTTCTAGTTGTTAACGGACAACTTCACATACTTTTTCAGGAGTCTCCCAATCATCCGCAGTTTTCCACAGCTCCCTCAGAACACCTTAGTGAAATCGAGGACGATATCCGTTTAGCATCTCGAATGGTGTCCTCGTACTAACCTTACTTTCGCTATTGTTGATAGAGTTCTGCATCTCAGTTAGAATATCGTCCCAATCGTTGCCTTCTTCTGTGCATGTCATTAGTGCGGCCATAAGAACACTATATGTCCCCTCAACCTGTGCATTTGCCTGTGGGTGACGAGTGGAAGTTAATATGTGTTTAATCCCTTGACCGTCACAATATTCTTCGAACCTTCGAGCAGTGAAGCAAGTCCCTCCATCAGAAATTAGCCTTCGAGGTAATCCATAAGCTTTCAAAAATTTCTTGACGCTCTGCAGCGTCTTGTCAGCGCTCGTACTAGCTACAGGGTAAAAATTTACATATTTAGTAAAGTTGTTTACAAAAGTCAGCACTTGGAACCGTTTTAAGTGGTGACCAACGGGCCCACATGGTCGAGGTGTACAGTGTCAAATGGTCTTTTCCCCACTGGAATCGGAGCCCGGCTGTTTGCCTCTTGGTCCTTTCACCATCAAGCATTCGAAACACATCTTAATGTGGAATGCAACATACCTCCGCATCTTAACGAACCAAAAGTCTTGTAATATATTAGCGACCGTACAGTCCACAGCAGGGTGCCTCTTCAAATTATGTGCACCAACCACCAACCCCTTGCGCATGGCTCTTGGCATTATGAACAATAGCTTGCCGTTAACTCGCCTGTATAGCAGTGCAGAGTCAACCAAGTTGTAGTAGACTTTATCAGCATTTAGTCTCTGAACAATACTTGACACCTCTTGATCAGCTGCTTGACACATCCGCACTTTGTCTTGATGGTCAGAGCTGTGGTTAAGAGAATTAAGTATACTGAGTGATTTGTTTCAATTGTGCGTTATGATTTATTAAATAGAATAGTTAACAATAGATAATAAGTAAAAATTAAACTCAAAGTGAATAAACATATATTTGATAAATATTAATACACTCCGCAGTTTTTTTCCCGTTCCTGAACAATTTGATAAAATTGACTTACTATAGCTATCAAATTATGTTTCATAAAAAATAAATGTAATCCTTCATTTAAAATCTTTATGTTATAGTTAAAATTTGTTTTATTAGTCTGTTCAGCAAAAGAAATTTGATCATGTCAGTGCGATTTACCATTTATTGGTTGATAAACTAGATACAACTGTTAATCAAAGCAACACTACTAATCAATCATTAGTTAATGAAACTGGTAAGTTTGCATCTATTCATAAGTATATGATTGTTATGACTATATTTAAAATAATATATATAATTAATATTGTATATCATATTTATAGATATAAATGGATCTGTTAACATCAATTCAAATCTAATTGAAAATTTACCTTTATATTCAATGTCACTTTATGCTCATGATGGTTCAATTTATGATAGTCAGCAATTAGAAAAGGTATTTTTTTTAATCTTTGGTTGTAATTTATTCTTTGATATACTAGGATCTTTCTTTGATTACAATTTAAAAATAAATTTACAGTACGGTGATGTTGATATTGGAGAATCTGCTAGTTCAAATAAGATTCAAGATAATCATCCAGTGACTACTCGTCGTCATACCGTTGGTCCAGGAAATGGCTTGATGACTCAAGTAACAAATTGCTTTTATTATTTAATTTATGAATCTAAATTGCCTTTGTTTTATAATGTATATGTGTCGATATATTAAAAAAATGTTGATAAATTTGTGTATTCTTAGAAATAATATAAAACCATTTTTTTTTTTAAATTTATTTTTACACAAATAATAATTAATAATTAAAGTTCAAAAACTCTTAATACTTATAGTAAGGATTATAATGTAATGGTTTATGCAAAATATATTTTGTAATAAATTTAAATTAGGCCTATGTATGAAATGAAAAAATACATAATATTTACATTTTTAGACATAGATAATAGAAGAATGAATAGGCCATGCAACCTTATCACACGGGAGCTTATTGGAAAATTATTTGAGGTTATAACAGAGAATAGATATGAAATCACCCCGCGTAAGAGCGCACTCTGGTTGTTCGCTTCAACTGGCTCCGAGTACGAACGACTAAACCGCAAAGTGCACCTCTACAGTCTCTACCCAGTCACGACTACCGCATAACACCATGGTTAAACGAAGCCCGAAAACCGAAAACCAGACCGAATATCCTCACAGACGCTGGCCAGTCAAACTTTTGTGCCTCTCGCCAAATCAGTGACCTCGACGTGATCATGCTCTCTCCGGCTGGTTCCAACCCGTTCAGATACGTTCTGGCTCGCCAACAACCGTCTTATTGTATATAAGTCTTTCTCTCTTCCCCATTTCGGCACACTTCCCTCAATTTTATTAATGTAACCATGGTCTATCAATTCTTTAATATCTTTGGTTATAATATCTATTAGATAGATAAGAATTTAATGTTATCAATTTACCACAACAAAACAATGGATGGTATCTATTTTAAATTTTTTTATAATTAAAAATAACAAAATGACCACTTGCGGGATTGAGTGACCGACTTTCTCTCTTCCACATTAAAGGCCGCGACCACTTGCGTTGTATGCATTAACATGGCCTATCCATTCTACTATTATTTATGTTCTTAGATATATTGACTCATTTGCTATTAAAGTATCACCCTGTATATTTCTAATGTCTGGTTTAATTTATACATTATTTTAGGTGATGGAATCACATTATATAACACACCTTCAAACTGGACGTAATGTTAATGTTTTGCCAAATACAAATTTACCTTTGAATATTCCATTAGTTGAATTTCAATCTCCCAAAAATTTTACAATTAAAGATCAACATTTATTAAAACCACCACAAGTTATGGGAGAAAGTAATAAGATTTAAAATAAGTTATTATGAAAAATGTATTTTGCACTTATTATTTTTAGATAACAACTTTGGTAGACGTGCATCAGATGGTGGTGCAAATTTACAAATATCACAGAAAATGAATTGTACATTTAGTGAACCAAGCAGCAAAGAAGATTTAAAAAAAGTAATCTATTATCTGAAATAATAAAACATAGTTCCTTCAAAATAACTAAGTTATGATGATGATCTAGTTTATTACTAATATACATTTAATGATTTATTTTATTTTTGAATAGCAAGCAAAAATTGATCCCAATGATTTGAGAAATGCAATAATTGATCAATCAAGTAAAGGAAACTTATTGTCTGAAGATAATGTTGCATCAGCTAGTTCTAGGTATTTTATAATACAAGACATGATTAGGTGTTTTATTTTATTTTCTAAACTTGTTCAGTTATGTTAAAAATTCTTCTTCTAATACTTGCAGCCGATTTACCAAAGTAATGTGCAATACCTCTAGACATGGGATGGGTAATAAGGAGGAAGCTCAGGCCCAACAAACCAATTTACAAAATACACGAACTAGACGTAGTGGTGTATCAACTGTAATGGATAGACCCCCAGGTATTTTATTTTAAATACAATATTATTTTCATTCTTAGTGCTTGAGATTTAAAATTTGAGTTTTACTTAATTTTGTAATACTCCTCCACAAAATGACACCCTTGTTGTAAGTACTTTTTGCTTTAATTATAATTCAATTACATTTATTATGATAATTATTTTTACAAATATTACATATTATATAATAATTTTTTTATTTATAAACAATCAAATATAAATTATAATTCAAATTTAACTAATTAAGGGGTTTCCTGAATATTTACTTCATGAAATAACTTCTAAATAATAATAATTTATAAACAATGCAGTTCTTTAATTTACAACCAAATAATTTATAAAAGGACTTAAGAAAAAAGTAAGTTACTTTATACAATATTTTTTTAATTTTTATAAGTATTTTGGTTGAACAATATTTAGTTTTGATTAGTTACTTATTACTAGAAGGTTGAATTGTATTATGATATTCTGTGTGTGTGTTTTGAATGCATTATTGCCTTTATACTATTATTATTAGATGGACATTAAACAGCATTGTAGTGTTGAATTTGTATGTGTTGTCCAGTTTTAATTTGTATTATTATTATTTTATTTTGATAGCTAACACGTTTTAGATTTTATTTTTCTTAAGGTGGTATAACAGTCACATATTTCTAAGGAAAATATTCTATTGTTATTCATTACTCTTTCAGTTCTAAACTGATCTTAATTCTTCTAAAAATTCATTTTTTTTTTCAAAATATTTTTGAGAACTTTATACAAAATATGGCTTTTTATTAAAAATAATGTTCAAATTGAGATATTAAAAAAATGTTTACCAGTAATTAAATGAGTTCGAACATTTACTATGGTAATTAAATTTGGTTTATAATATGATTATAAAGAAGGCCGTCATAATATTGGAAGCATAATATGTTGTTGAGTCAATTATGTGATCAACAATCAAAAATATTTCTGAAATAGTTTGTCAAATTCTTAAATATATTGAAACATTTTTTTAAAATTTAAATATTTTGCTATAATATTCTATGTTAATTTATTACAAACTGTTATGCCCTCTTAATTAGTAGTTTGTTTGTTTCCATTGCTTATTTTTTTTTTTCAAAGTCATTAGTCCTGAAGTGGTGCGTGAAGTAGAAGCACGTATGAATCGAGAGTATGTACCACCACCATTACCAATGGTCAGCACTTCTAGACATAGTCACCGTATATCTCAGGTTTCAGTTTTACCAACAGTACAAGAACTGCATAGACATTCAGGTATCATGGTATTTTTTTTTATTTTTTTTATTATTTCCTAGAATCTGTGGACATTATCATATATTTTATTTAATAATTGTAATTATATAAAAAACTTTTCGAATATTATTTGATTAGGCCGAGAAAGTTTAAAAGACGTTAGTGGTTATTTGCCATCTGAACGATATAGTCCAGTACGAAGAACAAGTGAACCAGTTGTTACATCTAGTGAACAACTAGAGCAACCTAATATACGTAATATCCAACAGGAACATATTCAACTTCAAGTAAAATCAACTGATCTGTGTTATAAATCCAAAGTTAATAATTAATCTGTTTCTTACTAACAGCAAAAATTGAGTGAAAACACATTGGATACCTGGGATCATGCTGAGTTACAAATGCTTCATACATATCATTTACAAAGTCTGCAAACATTAGTAGATCAAACTTCATTTATAAATACAACTTCATCTAATCATCAGGGTATGACATGAATCCCTTATGTTATTTAAATGTTGTCTAAAACTATTAATTTAAAAAAAATATATTTTTTTTTCAGGTAATTCAAATATTCTTAGTCAACATTTGCAAAATTTGAATTTACATCAAACACCGTTAGTTAATGTTCCACAAACCCAAGGTAAGAATTTTCAGTACCTTCACTATCTAAAATGTTTAAAATTTTAGGAAAAAAATATATGAAATGCTGATCAGTTAATTACTATACTGTTTAATGGGTTCTTTAATGCCTCCTATCATTTTATTGTGGCATTTTCTTCTTATTATTCGATGAGTCATATTAAAAACTATTTTTACAATGTATTAAACCAGCAAACTAGTTCTTTTGTTTTTAATTGTCCACATTTACGCATATTATATAATTCAAATTTATTTAGTTTTTATATACAACTTAGGATGTTTGGTAAGGACTAATATTTTCAATAAATTATATTTTAAAATAACATTTGAAATGTATTTAACCCGCCACGAGTTGCATCACGGTCTAAAAGACTGTTAGTTAATTATTTTACTAATAAGTAATTGTGAGTAATTTACTTTATTTCTTGCAATTTGATACCTTTAATGTACATGATAACCTATTTTTTAAAACTATTTATAACAATTAATTATTGAATTTATAACTTTTTTTAAACTTTGTAACCGGTCAAAAAGACTATTTGCGACAAAACTGAGTATCAATTTTGTTACGTATTATTTTCATCGGCGGTCAATTTCAAATGGAAAAACCAACAAAAACAAATATATATCCAGTCACTTACCTCTTACCTCTTCAAAGGTTTTTTCTTATCTCCTCGAAGGTTGCAATATTTTTGTTTAGTTTTATACCAATAGTAATGCCAACGTTTATTGTAAAATATAATAAATAAATAAAGTATTTTTTTTGAAAATCATTAATAAATGCTGTATGAAAAATGTTAAAAAAAAATATGAGATATAAGTGAACGGTCAAAAAGACCATGTGCACCACATGTGTTACATATAATTACCCGAATACTGTCGGGTTAAATAACATTTATAACTTTAAATTGTTGAACCCCAAGTCTGCAATAAAAAGGTTAACATTATAATTTATTTTTTCAAAATATAGTATTCAATTATTATGTTTTATTTTATAGGTTCAATTACTCAAGGTACACCAAATATAATCTCCAATCATCAAATTCCAGTTCCATTGGACTTACGAACGAATAATAAAATAAATCCTCAACCAACTATTGTAGTAGAAGACAAAACAATAGGTTAGTATTTTTTATTCTTTATGTATTATTATAGGTACCACTAACTGGAAATAGTTAACAACCTTATGTCAAAGTTTTCTATCATCGTTTATACCTTTACTGGTATTCCATCAGTCTTACCACTTTTTTCCTTCAATTTTCCTAAGTGCACTCCGTAGTTCCTTCTCAGTAATTAAGTCAACCATACCTTGATTCCACTCTACTTTCTTCTTTTCAAATCCATTTATATTTGTCAGAACTTTTTTAGCTACCCCTCTTTAGTGTTAAGCGTTATCCAAATAAAATTATCTAGATACATTTTTCGTACATTTTATCTCATCTAGATAACTTTTAAATTATCTACTATCTTATCTAGATAATAAAAACATTAACATTTTTTAAATTACATTTTTTTTTTATGTGGAACGAAATGTTAAGAACCAATCTGTCTATGTAACATAAAATAAATAAAATATTAATGTAAATTTATAATAATTTATTTTTATAATGAACTATAGTTTGTTTTATAAATTATCTGAGTATTATCTAGATAATTTTTTTTTTTGAAATCATCTATGAACTAAATAATTGTATTTAAACTAATCTATTATCTCATCTAGATGATTATATTGAAAAATATCTAGTATCTTATCTATTTGATTATTTATGCCTAACACTACAGCTCCTTCATACACTGAACATTCTAATAATATATGGACATTTTTCACCAATGATTTTCTCCTTAATAAACTTGCAAATGTGATAAAAAAATAATAATTTTAATAATTACACTTCATAAAAGACGAATGTTGAAATTTTAAACAGTGATGAATAAAATAATTATTGGTTGAATTAAAATAGAACTTAAATACACTGTTTCATTAGAAAAACTATTGATTTGTATACTTAATGGGATTCAATAAACAAAAAATCTGTGATTATGCGATGTATGATTATTAATTATATTATTTATTTTATTGAATCTTATTGAATTATCAAAACTATTATAGTTCCACAGCCTAGTATTTAATTATTATGGTAACAATATTCAAATATTAAATATTTATTTATTTATTTTTAGAAATTTGTGAAGAAAAACTTCTTCCAAATCCAGAAATATCTCTTATGGTAACTAACGAGGAAGGTGGTATGATGGAAGTAGACTCATTACTGACAAATTCGGTGAATTCTGTGAATACAGGTAATACTTTACTAAAAAAGTCAAGTACTGATCAACCACTTTCAGCTATACAATATGATGGTTATGAAGAAATCAATGATATGACTGCTGATAGAAATAATATTATAACTGATATGGACTCTTCAACTTGTTTGAAAACTGCTCCACTTTTTTCTGACTATATTCTTAAAAGAACTGCTAGTGATGCATTTGTTGTGGACTTGTCTGATTTCTATTCAAATTACACTTCTGGTAATATACTCAACATTGTCAAATATTTGATATCATCCAACATTCGGGTATGGCCTGTGCTAGATAGACAGAATGTGTTGCAATTTCCAACAGGGTTGCAAATTGAACTGGAAGTGTGTTCAAACGACACAGGTGCGAATTCGTATTTAAAAATTCAACGACTCTCTGGAGATTCAACTGAGTACAATAACATTTGTCATAGGCTGGTCGAAGACTATTTACCTTGTAACGAATAATATTAATAATCATTATATTACTTTTAATCTTTTCATGGCTGTGCTACTTTTGTGAATGCAATTAATTAATATTAGTCATTAGTTTTAATAAGCATCATTCGTTATTAGAATTTATACACAAAGCCCTTAATCATGCAGTTGTGAATTATAACTAATCATCTTTATCGTATATGGACTGATTTCAATATAAATTATATATTTTACCAAACTCTTATTTGAGATTTTCATTTAAATAATTATATTTTATAAATTTTTTAATTAAATGTGCGTTTGTAAAGTGGCAGCACAAAATGTATTCCATTTGTACTATTCCAATGACCATGTAATCAAATATATTGTATATTTGCTAATAATATGTGAATGTTGTTATTCTATATTTATTTCCAATTGTTAAAATAATTTTATAATATTGTTAACTTGTTTTTTTCTAAATTTATACATATATGTCTTAGAGAAACTGACAGTAAAATAAATTCATATTAGAATAGGATATTTCATAGTTATAGCAAATATTTTTTTTAGAATAATTAATCAAGTCTTGATCAAAACCGTATTATACTCGCAATAAATGTTATCAAATTTCATAACTCAATCAGTTCAGAAGTCTTAATTTAACCAAGGAGCTACTAAAACTTGTATATATTATTATTTGTATTCAATAATAATAAAAAAGTTTAAAATCTATTTGGTATTTTAAATTTTACTTCTGGGCTGTACGAATATTTTTAATACTCTAATATTGATTCGTTGGTATTTGTTTGTTATTACTTTTTTACTTTTTATTTTTTTTTTTATTTAAAAAAAAAATGTTTATTGTGATCTTTTTATTGTTATATTAATATTATTATATTTTTTTTCCACAGTCTACTGTGATCTGTGAACCATGTTTACCACCATTGGCTATTATTAATAACCTTACCTTATTCTAACTTTAATAGTTTACATTGCTGTATAGTCTATATATATATTTATATAATATATATATGTGCTCAATATCAATGTTGTGTACATGTTATTTGTTGTTATTATTATTATTATTATTATTTTGTGTTTGTATTACAATGTTATAAATTGAACACTAAACTTCTAAGCTCAATGTCAATGTTGTGGACATGTTAATTGTTATTATCTATACATTCCAATATGTAAGTATAGAATATTGTGATAGACTAATCAATACTACATTTTATTTTATTTTTTGTTTAATTTAAATGCATTTGGCAATGTACTCTTGTTTAGAAAAATGTAAAAATGTTATGCCATTATATATATTTTATATATGTACATTTAAAATGTACCATTATAATTTTAATATTAATATGTTTATAACCATATATTAAATGGAAGACAATATACAAAAATAAAATTATCAACCAATAAATGGATGAATGTTAACAATAGAATTAACCATATGTTAATATTTTATTTTTTTATTATTATGCAAACCAAATAAGATTTTCACATATTACAATAGGAAATGTAAAAAAAAAAATTTGATCATTATCTGAACAGCATCAATAATTCACTAGAGCATATAATATGCACTACATAAGTAAATAAATAAATAAATGTACAACAAAGTATTTAATTTCAAACATTTACGAATTTGAATTTGAATGTACTAGTGCTTGTATTTGTATCTCCTAATTATATGGATCCACAATATTTACCTGTGCAAACACGTTTTGTCAATGCCCAAGGATACTGAGGGTGGCCGTTCAACTAATTCTGGAAGATAATGTTTCACTGTGGCCCACCATGAATCTGCCACGATTGTCGTGTTCAAAACCACTGTACTCGACTTTTCGTTTCTGACTATGTTCATTTTATTATACCTTTTGGAGTTATGAATTTTTTTATTTAGTATGTTTTAAGGTCGTTCAAATAATGTTCATAATTATTATTTTTTTTGTTTTTTCAAGATCAATAGACCATAATGTTACATGTGAATAAAACAATGACCTGCAGAACTGCTCGAGCTTAACAAACCCTATCAAGTTTGTGTACACTGGAAGAACTTGCAGCATATACCTTAACCGTATCAATATCCCTCTAGCCATAACCATTATTGTTCGCATCATAAAAAAATTAAAATTAAAAATAAAAAGGTTCAAAGTCTCAATATTAATAACTAATAAGCAATGCTTCGTTTTACGTACAACTACAAATACAATGTAGTAGATCAAAGTTGTCGGTAATAGAAACAACAATATTGCAAATGATATAGTTCCGACATACAACTGTTGCGTGGTGTAAGGTGTAGTCCTTCCTGGTTGTGGATTACAACTTCTTCCCACGAAAAGTTTTGCCAATATCATGAGACTCTTACGTTGCAAGTTATATAGCCTATAAACCGTTCACGTTTCAATTTATGGATTTTATTGTGTACATATTGTACTCTAAGAATAGTTATACACAGAAATCAAGAATAGTATGTTGGCTAATATAGTCTAATATCAAATTTTGTTACAGTTACATTTTTTTAGTGCAATAACCGATATCTGAACTTTTGATGTTCATAATTTGAATGCAAATGCATTGAATATTTTTTAACTATAATATAACTAGTGTAACTAAGAAAGTTGCATTATAACCATTCAAGTTCAATTACATTTTAAGCAATTAATTAGAAAACCTTCACACAAACAAATTTATTTTATGAGCACCAATTATTTAATTGTGATAATGTAATAGTCAGATTATTGTAGTTCATAGGTCCATTATTAATATAGGTACACATCATCTGAATTATACACAGATCATCCTACTACAATTTAGGAAATAGTAAATAACAAGTCTGCTGATATTATAGTACAGGCATATTTTAATGCCTTTTTATTGGTTAATAGAATGTATTTTCTATATTATAATGACATTTATTTTTATATTTAATGGCTATGAACTGATTGGGCATATTTTTTTGTTAAAAATTTAAAAAAAATGAAATACTATTATAATTATTTTTTAATTAAAATTAATATATCAAACATTATAATTATGTTTGATTTTTGGATTTAAAGATTTTTTGGATATTCTCCTAACTATGTCACTATCAGAGTAAGTACTCCAAACGGATATGTTTTGTTATGTTCATATGCCTGCTAAAAAGACTGATTGAATAATTTAACTCTCTTACAATTTGTATAAACTTACTTTTATTTGTTTTTTCAACATTTAATACATTTTTATCAAAAATCATATTTTTCTAAAAATGAATATTTATGAATATAAAAGACGATTTATTATTTTGATGAAATATAAAACACAAAAACATCAAGAGCATATAAATCCGGTCTCTAGTTATTATTAATATGGTAGCCCGTTAAGTTAAAATATTATTAATATTATTATTATTATGATTATTATTATTATTTGTTTAATATCATATTTGTACATAATAATATACTTTAGGAGTTTCAAGTACCCACGAATAATATTTCAAAAATATAACACAAAACTTAAATCGTTTTTTTTTGTTTAAATTTCTCAATTTTTCCAAATTTGAACGTAAAATAACTATAAAAAAAAACTGTTTTTATACTGTTTTTTTTTACAGAATAACATACTAACAACTACGTGGAACATTGTTTTAAATGTTATGAAAATTTGAACTTTAAATCCTTACATAAAAGAAATTGAAAATGTCTGTAAACATCTCAAAACAAGTCAAAATATTTTTAAAATTGTATCAAGTACAGGAAATTGATAAAATAAACATATGGTGTAAATTTCAAATATCTACAGTTATTCGTTTTTTAGTTACAACAAAATGAGAAAATCGCAACATGAGAAATGTCTTGATTTATCAGTGTATTGTATTAATGGCATTAAATAATTATATAAATGTACGATAACAATAAATCTATACTAATATATTGTAAAGAAGAAAAATTGCTTGTTTGTTCGGGGTTCCAAATCTCTGGAACTATTTAACCGACTAAACATTTTTTATCAACAAAAGCTAGTGTATTCCAAGGATAAATACTAAATAGGTTATATTTTATCATGATAAGTGGCCCTTGATTTTTTTTTATAGCAAATTTGTGAATTTTTTTTAGAAATTATGATAAATAATGATTAATTTTTGTTCATTATGGGGTTGCTATTGGTTACAAAAAATAAAATAGTTTTTATAATTTTAGACCTAGGAAATTAAAGTGTTGTCTTAAAGTTTAATATTGAAGAATACGTTTTAAAATAATTTTATTATATTGTTGTTATTTTAATCACAAAACACAATATAAAAAAAGTAGATACTGATTAATACCAAAGAGACCAAAGAGTTAAAATGTGTCGAAAACAAAGGCCCCCCAAAAGATTGTCATTTTTAAAGCAGATTGGAGAATCCCTTTGGCTTGTAATAACATAGGCACATTTGTAATGTAACATAGGCAGTGGAAAATGTAAAACTTAATTTTTGGTTACTAAAATACCATATCCAAATCAAGTAAAAATAAAAACAAATTAACAATAATTTAATACCTACCAAAGATAATTCTCCCTTTTTATGAAAATTTTGTTATAATTCTACATTTTCATTTTATGCAACACAAAATTATTTTAAGTTATTTTAAAAAGTGCAAACAAATTTGACCTCACCATGCTGCGTATACATAAATGCAGTAAACGTGAAAACTGACAATCGCCAATACATCTTCTAAGATTGCTATTTGGTAAGATAATCCAAAAATACCAATGAAAACATAAACTTGAAACGTCAACTCCAAAAATGGCCGACATAATACTGTAAATAGTAAATACACATAAGTTTAATTATTTTATTCTTTATAATTATATATTTATTTGATTTATTTTTATAAAAAGTTATAGTTATAACAGTTTCATCAAATTTGAAGCTCACTATATAAAATAATTAGACTTTCATTTTTACTGTAAATTGGATCAAAAATAAATGTAATTCTAAATCATCATTCTTCATTTAACCTTAAAGAACGACAAGATAAGACAGATTTAGAATGAATTTATTTGATTCTAATTTTATTTTATATTTAAAATTATAAAAATGTTTAGTTATTCATTTATCATTGTATTAAATGTTTGATTAGTAATTATTAATTAGTATTTTTAAATCAAAGTACTTATTAAGAGGTATATGTTACCTACCTAAAAAAGACCACCAAAGATTGACTAAATAAAGAAAACATGTTCCAAGTAAACTGTTCAGAGGATCATTGAGTTTTAACCCTGCTGGACTGCCCATAAGCCATTGCAATGTACCCTGTAGCACTTTAATAACTTGCTGTAAATAAAAAATAGTTATTTTAAGTAAAATAAATTTCTATGTATAATAATAATATTTTAATTCAGTTACATGAGAAATGCTTGAAATGTAGGAAAATAATTCGTTTGACGAAGTAAATGTAGTATTGAGTATATATAGAATTATTATTCCAAAAACTGCATCACAAATACATGACATCAAATAATTGATTGATTTTGCTCTTGATAAAATATGTTTATTATGTATGAGATTGTCTACTAGCCACACATAGTTTTTCATTACACCCAATATGTGTTTAAATAATGTCAGTCGTAATATTGTAAATTGTACAATCTTTGTTTCAAGGCTGTTTATAAGCACATTAAGTATAATCAACAAATATTTGGTAAATCTCTGAAATATGACAACTTCTGATAGATGACACTGCTTTTGTACATTTTCTGTACTAGCTAGCCAATTTGACAGCATTATGAAACAAATAAATTTCTGTGAATCACCTTCATATTTGAATAGTGTCCCATAGTCGTACAACCTTGAAGGATCATACATAACCAATACAAAATTGTCAAGTTGTCCTGGCAACAAACTGGCGTTCAAATTCCCATTGATTTCAGTTATGCACAAAATATTAGTGACTCTGCGTTTGAAACAGGCCCGACAATCAGTTCTGGTAAAGTGCCCAATTGTCTTCACTTTACATCCTTTTCTGGTGTTTTTAATATAATTCGGAAGTACAAAATAATACCTGACGTTTTTCATAAGCTTGATGAATCCTAGTAATTCAACCGTTATTTCACTCATCCCTAACAAAGTTTTAGGGAAAAAAACCACTTGTTTATTCTCCATTTTTTTCAAGCCTTGAAAATAACACTAAAAACGTATGTCCTCACATCATGATGCAAGATCGCAACGACCGTTCTCGGAATACCTTGGAGAAAATAAAAACTGTAATAGGTAGTTAAATTATGTAGGTGGACTAAAAAATTCAAATTAAAAATCGGATATGAATAATTACGAATGATAGGATTACGATGGAGATTGGAGAATATAAATTGTTGTTGTGTCTTGTGTTATCAAAACCTGGTGACTTATCATTTAAGCTACTATGGTCTTATCATAGTCTTATCTACCTGAGTACAAGATATATTTTAAATAATAATTAATAAATACCATAGAAAATGTATTATAATAAAATGAAAATATAAATTTAAAACAGCTTGCTACAGCTACCACAATTTAATAATTATAGTAATTCGTCAACACTTTTTGAGAAAATAAATTACACCCGTATATTTGCACCATAATATCAATATTACTAAATAGGTAGGTACCTACTAATACTCCATTCACATTATAGGTACTACTCCAGTTTGCAATAGTCCAATAATACTTGTATATTTTTCATCAGACTGATCTTTGTGAATTTAAATCGTTCATTATTCTACATTTCTACCCATAATTATTAACTATCTAGGTAAACTATTATTTTTAAATGCAAACAATATTGATCAATGCGATCAAAACGAAAATATATAATACCTACTTACCCAATGAAAATATTTTTTTGTTGACATATTGTAATGATGCCATTATTGTTATTTATTCATCGTATGGTGAAACATGTCAACATTAACAACTAATAAATATATATATAGGTAAAACCACACTATATAGGACAAAAGTAAATAATTTAAAATAGTGAAATTACAACTAGGTAGGTAGGTATTTATAATGATTTGGTTCAGATAGACAGGCTATAATTTTAGATTTGGATGTACAAGTTTGAGATCCATTCGATTGCTTCCGGTATGGCAATGTGAAGGTTGTTCATGCCTCCATTGAATAAGATCGCAATTCAAAACAATTGTATACATAGGTACTTAAAATTATAATTTAGATAATTGAATTTAAATTTTTAAATTTATTTTTATTGAATTTCACCGTATGGTTATACAATTATATTAAAAGGTTGGTTAATATGGATAAAAATTTGGATCATACTTGGATCATTACTTATTCAAAGATATAATATGTTAATAATTATCTTTATAATATAGACAATACTACAATAGACACACACACAAACAAACAAACACCCGCCAACAAAATAATACTACTACTCCCAAAACATAGCAGGCATAAGTGCATAACATACCTAGTTAAAATAGTTTTTTGTATTTTAATTATTCAACATTTACAAATTTGGTTAGGTGCGAGAGTACCTATCCAAAAAAACACCGAGTCAGTGGGATCATATTGAACTAAATACCTATTTAATTAGAAAATGAAAACTAATGTACAGGGCTATGATTTAAATGCCCTTAAATTATTGAATTATTGTTTTAGTAATAATTTGTGTGTTTATAATTTATATAATTATTATATATATTTTTTCTCGTACTTAATACTCAATAGACATAAGTTAAAGTTTTCAAAATAATAAAGAATGAACTAAAAACGTTTAAAAAAATGCTCTTTAATGTCAAACACCTCAAAAATTTCAAAAAACGCATCGAAGTCCGAACCAATAGTAGGTAATATTTAACAAAAAATTACATAATAACAAAATATAAAAATTTAGTTGTTATTTTCGTGGTTTTTTTCTCGTCTATCAACAGTGCCGGATCTAAGTCTCAGGGGGCCGGGGTGCAACTACCAATGGAGGCCCCTTAAAAAAAAATTTTCTCGACTTTACACTTATCTATTTATTTGATACGTTTTGTCGTATTGATATATTAAACAAACTAAAAAACACAACATTTAAATTCCATAATTTAATAGGTAAATTATGAAATTATACATTCACTCACTGTTCTCATATCTATTATACCACGCTTAGATATTATGATGTATTAATCTTTAATGTATGCTTCTATGCTAGTATAATATAAATTAAGAATACATATCATTAATATGATATTGGCTGTATATTCTCTCTATTGTTCTAAAATGAAAGGACCCAAATATGAATCAGGTACCTCAGTTACCTGAATTGAATACAAAATTATTCATCAATCCTTTATATTTTTTTAATTCATTGTTTTGAACATTTTTCTCCGTCTTTTAGAGGCAGCACTTTCAAATTGTCTGTTAGACATGTTTTTTTTTCAAAAGTCAATAAAAGATAGTGTAGGTAGGTACCTCATTTTTATTTTTAATAATCAAATGAAAAATTAATATAATAGAGTAGGTACGAAAAAATAAAACTGACAAAAGTACAAAAAAACATATCTGAAACCAGTAGCGTATCCAGAATTTTTTTCGGGAGGGGTTATAATTTATTTTTGTGGAATTTTATCTTAAAATGATTTATTAATGATAACGTTGTTATAATTTAACAATTTTCGGGGGGGGGGTTACAACCCCCTAACCCCCCCCCCCCTGGATACGCCACTGTCTGAAACCAATAACGCTGCATCAAGGCAAAGGCATGTCCGTAAATCATAATCCATTTACATATATTAAACAATAAATACATATAACCACGGTTACATTATTAGTTTGTCCAGCAAGATACTGCACTAGCGCGAGTTCACGAGCCTCTGAGATTGAATAAATAGTACGATTATACGAAAATAGTATACGATGCATAAGTACTATATAATATAATTAATGTGTATATAAATAAATATGTAAAACAAACAATAACAATGATAAATAGTATTACTTATCTAAAATTCAAACCGTCCAAAATAAATGGTTGTCACTTGTCAGTATAACATCTTAAAATAATAAAATTTGTTCATTTTATAATAAAAAGTTATAGAAAGTTAGAAAATTTAGGACTTTAACCTTAGGCCCCTAATACAACCTTGGTCTTGAGGCCCCGGTGCAATGCACCCCCGCTAAATCCGGCACTGTCTATCAATGAATGGTTACAACTTACAACAGCCATACCGGCGATATGTTTAAGACATATTATATACATACCTATCTATGGTATTAAAAAAAAATTGACCTATAATAAATACCAAATTAATCATATCGCAATATCCATTAGGTACTTATAACGCGTTATACATCAACAACAAACCTTGATAGTTGATACTATCATGGATGTATAATAGTACACTTTAGAAGTTTCAAGTACAAAAGAATAATATTATACAATTACTGAATTACAACAAAATAACTAAAATAGTTATTCTAGGTTTTTTAATATGTAATTTCGTTGAAATTTGAACTTAAAATGACTATAAAAATAAACTGTACTTGTATATTTTTTAGACTTTTCGGCAACAGAATTAACTACTCACATGGAATCTTATTTTAAATTTTCAATTCTTAGATATAAAAGTTGAACATTTTATACATTTTTAACTACAAAATAATTATTCAATTTTAAATTTGATAAATTTTGTCAAAATTTGATCTTTAAATGCTTATGAAAAAAAATGTGATTATGTATTTTTAATATTTTTCAACTCTTATTGTAACAATATATCAGGAGCCTTGTATTAAATTTTTACACTTTTTGGCCCAACAGATAAAACTTTATTGATATTCATAGAAAAAAAAAATGAAAACTGACAATGACCGTAAACAGCTGAAAAAGCGTCAAAATATTTTGAAAATGTTATCAAATGTAAGAATTGATAAAATAAACATTCAGTGCAATTTGCATGTATCTAGAGTCATTCGTTTTTGAACTATATCAAAATAACAAAATTGTTACATGAGAAATCGAGTGAATAATAAAGTTTGTAAGAATATGAATTTAAAATGTTTATAAAAATTTAATTTCACTTTCCGATAGACATTTTTTTTTTTTTGATAAAGTTAGACAAACTTATGAAAAATCTTATGTATTACATTTTCAAATCTTAGATTTAAAAAGAAAAATTTTTATGATTTTCTAAAACTAAAAATAATTTGAGATATTTAGTGTTTTTTCCGTATTTTGTCAATATTTGAACTTTAAATGCTTATAAAAAAAAAAACTGGGACTAAGGATTTTTAATATTTTTCAAACGTCATTGTAACAACACAGTAGGAGCTTTGTATTAAATTTCAAAGCTTTTTTAAATAACAAATAAAGTTTTATTGACATTCATAGAAAAAAAACCTAAAAAATTTCGAAACTGAGTATACCTATATCCGCGGATATACTCAAGCCGTTAACAGCTCAAAACAAGTCAAATTTTTTTGAAAATGTTTCCATGTATAGGAAAGAGTAATATAAACATTCAGTGAAAATTTCATTACGATCATTTGTTTTAGAGTTAAACCAAAAGCCAAAATCTATTTTGTCAAAATCCCATTTTGCGTAAAAATTCCCATTTTTCCTTAAATTTTATGTTGTTTTTCAAGGCGCTTGTGAAAACTATTGAATTTTAAAATTTGACCTCCCGAATGCACCAACTAGATTCACTTTCCCATCGAACAAGATACTGTTGAAGAAAATCGAATTAGTTGTACTGCCCTAAACCGTAATGACAGACACAAAAATTAAAAATTAAAAAACACACATCATTGTAAAATCAATTCATTCATCGTTCCACTCAGAATCTAAAATTCGATACTTATTGCCGTATCGGATATGAAATAGTTACGTAGGTACCTACTACCAACTATCGAAGTCAGAGTCCGATACGGCGATACGGATTTGTATGCATCGCCAATGGTGTACTCAGGGGTAGGGTTCTAGGGTTCTGAGTTCTGACCCCCCCCCCCTAAAATTTCTTCCGTTGACAAAAAAATCATATTTACCACCATTTTAATACACAAAGTCGATCAATTGTTGGTAATTTTTAATAGATATAAATATATAATATAAATTGTTAAATATGACACAGACGTCGATAATCATAGTTTCAGTTTTTTGGCTGATTTAGAACAGTGCTAAG